CTTGGGAAGAAGCATAAACAAGAATATCAGCCATCAGTAGAATACTATTCACATCCTCATTCAAACCAAAATGCCGAACAGTGCCTTGGGTCAACCCAAGCCTCGATGCAACCTCCTGCATTCATGTATAAACACCTCATTATGTCTTCAGTATACAATCTCAACCAACACTAATCGCACACAGCCGAATCAAATTAAGAGACGTTTTTCCCTGGCACAATATAATGTGTTTTTGATAGCACGACCTGAATGAATCCTTATCATGCAAAATTGGTGCTACATGAGCAAGCAATATGAACTTGAATTAAGAGACGTTTTTATGTATGCACCAGTAAGAGTTCTAGCTCAAGACCAATGAGCCTCTGCTGGTAGGAGAAGATATGATAAAGCCTATCAAAATGTTTCTTACCTGTACAGCATCGCTCTGTCCTTCGGTAGAATTACCATAAAGAAAAACAAACTTAAAGGAACCCCCAGTATCTTTTCTCCTCCCATATCGTGTTAAAAGTGGTCCCAACATGTGCATTGCCACGGCATTATCCCAAGATAACTCATTATAAAAGAAGGAGCTTCCAAGCACCACGATGATCAGGTCATCCTCGCCAAATCCGTTACTCTCTCTCAGATTTTGTTTCGTGTGGCTTTCACTGTAGCTTTCAGCCGCCCAAACATCGACGACTGATTCCGGAATCACAACGAAGTTCCCATCATCAAGAACACTATGCAGCATCTGAACAATAATATGATTTTAGAAACAATAAAAAGCCGAGACTTTGGTACACTCGAAGTGGTAACATAAGCTTATCGCAGACAGGAATATACCGGCAGGGTAAACTGTGGAAAGACAACCACATTTGCTCTCGCAAAAGCACTTTTCCAGTGGGAGATTAGAGAACTCTGGCCCATGTTTTGGTAAACAGGCAACCGATTTGCAAGAATATATTCATGAACTATCCATATAAGTGGTACTGAACGAAATGGCTCCTGCATAAGGCTGCATAATATAAACTTTTATCATCATCGAACATCAAATATAAGTTACTGTCAAAATTCTGATAGCAGGCAACTATACAAACTTAATTTACGCACCTTGAAATGGCTTCTTTTGCTTCAAGCGAATCAGCAATAACACCTTCAAAGCTGCAAAATATGAATCACTGTAATTTTATCCAGGCGGAGTGGAGAAACAAAATATATTCAATAAAGTAATCAATCTGCCAAGAAATCTGATTTGAAAATATGGCCAGGAAAACAACAAGAAAGTTTTCAAAGAATTGATAGGACACATACATTGTCCAATCAGCGTGCCCCAGCTGATCTGCAACCAAAACTTTAACGTGGCCGGCTAACTGTTCCCACAACAGACGTGCTTCACCATTCTCTACGGCAAAAACCTGACAACTTTTAAGGTCACAAGCTTTTCTAGGAGATGCGGGATATAAGACACAAATACACGCTTGTATCCACACTTCATTGCATATTTATAGTGGTACCATTCTGCTTATACCATATATAGGAGAAAACAAAAATCTTCAACATGAACGCTAGAGCTGCAAACACAAAATGCCATAAAGTTTCACCTTAAATACATAACCCAGTTTTTGAAGATTCTTCATCACTGTGACCAACATTAGTGTTCGGGGATCTTTCTTCATATTCCCTAGTATCTGTCATTCATAATATATAAAACAGATGAGTGAATAGAAAGTGCATGGACACGGATGAATAAAAAGCATCTGTGAGGTCGATCAAAGAATATAAAACAGTGTATATACATAAAAACGGTAATTTTCTTAAGCTAATCTGCAAATGGCTTCAGAGATACTCAATCCAGTGATTGGCAATGTAAATAATTTCAAAGTAACCGTTAAAACGCCAGTGGAAAGTTCAATTTTAATGCGCAAGAAGACTCCTTGACGCATCTATAAAGGAATTTAGCTTCAAATCTATACCGGCATACCCCAATGAGCAGCATCTAAATGAAACACATGGCATTTGCCCATGAGCCAGTCAGGACATATTATTTTCTCCATTGGCTCAGACTCGACACAAAGATTAGTTCTTTACCCCTAAAAGTCCTATTGGCTTGTTCAATCTACTTTAGCTATGAAAAGAACATAAACCAGGGTCCACATCAAATCTCTTTAGGAGGAGGATAATCTTGTTTCTCATGGAATCTTAGCCAAGAGCTATTCCAAAAAAACTAGTTTCATAAGTTCCAATGGCAATAGTTGGAAGCGCCTCATCTAAACCTTGCACAATCAAATCATCCAAACACAAGTGCAAGAAATAGAAACATCTACGGAGTGTTCTGTCTCACGGTGAACACTAGCGCTTAAATCACCATTGTAAGAGGTTTACGAACGCTAGCCTACGAGTGACTCAAGTGGATCTAGCAAGTCTCTTTCATGCATCGACTGAAAAAGGTAAAGAAACACTCACGAGAGCTAGCCTCGGCGGACGAACGCCGATCCTGATCTCGGAACGCAAGGGATCAAGCCCTTCCCCTTCAATTAAAGTCTTCGCAATTCCTCCAGGGACGTACTTCAACGTACTCCCCAATCCAATTCGGCTTCTGACTTGCCCTCCCTTCACATTCCCTTGCCAGGTAATCGAATTCTGGAGCAACAGCGAGGACATGACGAACGCACAAACCGTGAAGGCGACCAGAAAGTAGAGCAAACAGGTGCCGCGGGGCTTGAGCAAGGAGAGCAAGCCCTTGCGGTTCAGTGATCGGCCAATGTGATGAGGTCGGGTACGCAATGAAGTCCGATCCAAACCGGAGTGAGATCGATCTCGCCTGTCGCTCGAATTCCTCTTCAGACGGAGACGATCCCGGACGGAATGGAAAGACATCTCTCCGTTTCCGGCGACGTTGGTAGCGTTGTGGTTCCCGTCTCTTCCGGCGCCGCCATTGTCATCGATCTCGAGCGAGAGAGAGTTTCTCACCATGGAGAAGAAGAGAGAAAGCTGCTTCACTGATGTTCAAAACGAAGCTCTCTCTGTTTCAAGTGCCACAAAACTTCACCATGAGAAGATACAGAGAGAGAGAGAGATTCAGATTGATAATTGATTTGCGTACTTTTTGAGTTGCGAATCTGTTAGGAGAGGAGACAGTGGTGGAGAATGAGCAATTTTTGTCAAACTTCCCAACTTTTTTTGGGTTTAATAATATTAAAAATTAATTTTTCTGCCTCTGATTTCAATCAAAATTCAGTTTATTAAAGTATTTTGTTAGGACGGTGACAAAACAATTGTCTCGTCAAAAGATCAGATTCACGCGTTTATTTTAGAGTCCAACTAGTGAGCAGTAATTGTCATTATTAGTGATAATGAAATCTCTATCTTTTTCGTAAATCTCTATCTAATTAGTTAACTTTGTTTATTTACGTAATGCAGTGTACAGAATGATGCTGGCTGTTTGTAAGAAATTAATGATGAATGACAGACAACAGGAGATGCGTTTATGCCAATACACGATATAGTGCTTATTAGGCTATTCGCCAATAAACGGTATTAAGTCATTTCATAAAAATATAGAGACTTTTAATACTATTTTTGCATATATTGTATGACAAATAAAATTATTAAAAGACAAAATCACATGAACGAATCTGATGTATTGCGTTTAGTTAGTTTGTTGTTTATGGTAACCATTTTCTCTTGTACTTTTATTTTTGAACTCTAAATGTTGATACTAGACATGCTTTATACGAACGTTTTGTCACAGCATTATATATACTAGGCTCTTATGGCTTAATGTTAACTCGTAAAGAGTATTAAATTGCGTGCGTGAATCATTTAATCTTCTAGTGTGTCGATTGAGTGCGAAACAATCAAAATTAAATGAAAACAGTAAACTATTGTTTGTCAAATGATAAAGAAAGTAAGAAACTATCAATACAGTGTTTATATAATCTGCATGTAGAGCAGACTTTTATTTTTGTCTTCGATGCGGCATGTGGTTACATCCGTCTTTCTTCAAAACTGAGAATGAATGAAAAAGTACTACCATAATTAAACAACACTTTAGTTTTGTAAGAAACCCAAATACATGCGTTGATAAGGACAATTAAAATGGTCATTAGACGTAGATATTGATCTGATGTCTTTTATGTATTGGGGATCCATGCTAGAGCTCTCACATGTAATCACATGATTTAATACTATTTTCTGTTCTCTTCTCTATTTTGGGAGGTTTTCTAATTCGTTAGATATTCATCTTCATTCATCCCATTTATAGAAACCTGTTTTCTTCGTAGTCTTTTTTATGCTATTTATTTACCATTGTGATTATATGCTCATTATTTTATGTGTCATTTGTCTTGTTTCTCCATTTTCGCACTATACTAAAAGTTGATGTACTATTTAGATGGTACGTAATCTCCATTATCATTTGAACTCATCGTTTAAAGATATATGGTCGATGTTTCCACCTAAGCGATAGTAGACAAGTAATTAGAAAACGATGTTTTTTAAAAAAATTTAGAAAATGATGTTTTAACATTATTGGATTCGAATTCTACCTTTTTGAAAAATAATAATAAAAAAATATTTTATAAAAATCGTCTTAAACCGTTAGACGTACTTATTATTATGTTGGTTGACACGTCTAGTTAATGAGGTTATATATATGACAAAACTCGGGAAGTTTATACCCCAAATTTGAAATGTTATAGGAGTAGCTAGTGTTTGAATTTGAATTTTATATCACATACAAAAATACAAGCATAAATTAATTTTACGTTATATATATATTATAATATTCTAAAGTAACCAATTTTTTCTATAAACAAATAAAATCTAAATTTGTAGACAGAAAAAAAAGAAGAAGAAGAGCCATAAATCGCCATAATAATATGAGAAAAAAATCTGGAACGAAAAAGAAAAAAGACACTCCCCTAAATAGGCCATGCCCATTGGCCACTGCCTTCACTAAGGTTAGGACAGTATCCCAACTATAGAAAAACGAGAGTCATGTGAGTCAGATTTCGGATTCTCGTTGATCAATCAGAAAATGACACCTCAGAGATAACGTTTTTTTTCCTAACTAACCCCACACACAAAAATAAAGATAATACAAAAACGATATTCTTATCATATTCGATTTTCTCAAAAGTTGTCCTCTTCCTCGTCCCAACTCACCTCTCGGAGCTCTGCTCTGCTTCTGACGGCGCGCCGGTTAAAATGGCGGCGACTTCACCTGTATCTCCGATTAGCCATCAGTTATTATCCCGGAGCAGCTCCAGGTTCTGGAACAACGCTATGACTCCCCGGTTCTGTTCGCCGGTTTTCTCGATTTCCCCATGTCTCATCGGCGTGGCCGGAATCGGGTCGGCGAGTCAGTTACGCGCTCGCCACCCTCTGATCTCCTCCGCAGCTACGACGGATTACCTATTGCATGACGTCGGAGCCACCGTGGCAGTTCTCGGTGGAGCCTACGCGCTCGTCTTAAGCTTCGAGAGTCTCACGAAGCGAAACGTGATTCCTCAGGTCTCTTTTAATCGTTTTTTTAGTCACCAAGTTCGAGTTTCTTCACCACTTTACTGCTGATGCTTCTGCTGTTGAACAAAAACCAGATGAATTCACCGAAATTCCTCTTTTAGTTCTGGATAATTCGTAAAAAGACTATATACATACATATGCTCTGAATCGATAAATTGCGGTTCCTTCGTGTTAAGAAAGTAAGAATCAGAAGAAACAATAAAATTATACATGGATCTTGATTCTCTAATAAGTTTTTTCTTGAAACTTTGTTTTAACTTGATGAACAGAGTTTAAGCAGAAAGCTAGTGCATATACTCTCAGGTCTGCTTTTCGTAATCTCGTGGCCAATCTTCAGGTATACCTTTCACTGTATATATGTATGTTGATTTATTGGAATCTCTCTCTATACCTTCAGCATTTTGATTGTTTTTTCCTTAATCTTTTAAGTTTAGCGAATCGACGTTGGCTCGATACTTTGCTGCTTTTGTTCCGTTGGTGAATTGCTCAAGGCTCGTCATTAACGGTTTATCCGTCTCCCCTGATTCCACGCTAATCAAATCCGTCACTAGAGAAGGAAGACCCGAGTAAGTTGTAGATTTTTTATCTTCCAACTCTGATGACACGTTTCTGCAGTAGTGTGATGACACGTTTCTTGTTTTCTTCCCCATGCAGAGAGTTGCTTAAAGGTCCTTTGTTCTACGTTCTAGCCCTTCTCGTCTCTGTGCTTTTCTTCTGGAGAGATTCTCCTACCGGTATGATCTCATTGGCAATGATGTGCGGTGGCGACGGTACTTTTTCTTATCTGTCATTTTCCTTTTCTTGATTAACAATTGAGTTAGTCTATAACCATCTCGATTGATATGTGATGTACTGGAAACGTCTATATAGGGTTATAATCTGTTGCTTCAAAAGATTACAGGAGAACAAGGTTTTTCTTGGATCCGTTTGACTTCCAACAATCAAAAACGAGAGAAACATTAGGATATTGTTCATATTCTATATCGTTTTATTAAATCCTGTATCGTTTTATAATCGTTGACTCAATGATCAAATATCAACGACAAGGGAAAATAGACTCTCTAGACACTTTTTGTTAATCAAAACAACTTCCTTTCACGTAAACCCCAAACATCATGAGATAATATAAAACTTAAGATTGCGGAGAGACTATAAAGTCAAAACTTAAACTTGTTTTTTGTTGTCAGCTTATAGGGTATTACATAAATGAAATGAAAACTGAAAACACTAACTTAGCGCTGCATCAATATGTCTTTTGTAGGAATAGCTGATATCATGGGACGTAAGTTTGGGTCAGAGAAGATACCTTACAACCCACGAAAGAGCTGGGCTGGAAGCATCTCCATGTTCATCTTCGGCTTCTTCATCTCAATCGGGTAAACATACATCAATCCCACGATTAAAATCATGAAAATGTCGTCTTCATGAACAAATCTTAAAGTTTGAGATGAGTTTGCAAATTAATCGCAACTAACTAAAGGCGACTTTTTGTGTTTTCTTTTATAATTTGTAGATTACTTTACTATTATTCGAGCCTTGGTTACCTTCAAATGAAGTGGGAAACGACATTTGCTAGAGTCGCGATGATCTCAATGGTGGCCACAGTGGTCGAGTCGCTACCCATCACTGATCAATTGGACGACAATGTTTCGGTTCCTTTGGCTACTATTTTAGCTGCTTTTGTAAGTTTTGGATATTAGATTTTCATCCAATGTTTTATAAAAAATATATAAATACCACCAGGAAATGTACCCATGAATATGCTATTTGTATATATTATACTTATGCGCCGTTTGCATTACAGCTCAAAGATTCATACCTACTCTGGTTTTGGGGATATTTATAAACACATGGGTTTTTATATGATAGAATAATACTAAATAAGTACAATTAGAAATAAATGAATAAGAGTTTGAAAGGCAGTATCACGAATCATATCAATTAGATTTTAAATCCAAAAAGTGTGGGAAAATGAATTGGCCGATCAGTCAATCCGTTTGCAAATAGATTTTCTTATTAACATTCATAATTTGAAGTGCCAACTTTGTGCAAATAGTTGTGGATTTGGCTCAACCAGCTATTTGTTTAGTTAGTTGCGATTCATTTGCACATCTCCATGTTCATCTTCGGCTTCTTCATCTCAATTGGGTAAAATCATGAAAATGTCATCTTCATGAACAGATCTTAAAATTGAGACGAGTTTGCAAATTAATCGCAACTAGCTAAATATGAATCATGAAAATACTTTGTTAATTCTTTTTGTTCTACTGTTTACTAATATTTATTATGTATCAATCTGTTACATTAGTACTGTTAGTATAATAATTAGATTCTTATGACTTATTTATTAATAAAAAGAAGATTGAATATTAAATTTAGGTTTTTTAACATAAATAATTTAAAATATTATAAAATTCGTTCAAAATTCTAAAATATTTAATTATATAAATTTTTTCAGCTACTCATATCATAATTCGACTAAAGTAGATGATGATGTGTAACGCAATGTAGACAAATCCGTTGTACCGGCCCTATCGAGGTCCATGGCTATCTTGGCACTCCAAGACGAACAAACCACCAAATTATCTTGGCATTCAAGAAACCTTTTCAACACTCACGGCCAACAAAGTGTGTATTTGCGTACCAGCGAACTCTAATGGCTTTTGAATAACTTGGATACCAGCGAACTCTAATGGCTACTAGTCTGTTATGTGTCAATAAGTCTATAGGAGTTTTATTAAAACCATCAAACGAACCAAACTGTTCACGATGCTGAGGAATGAACCTGGAAACCGACTGTGAATAAAATTTAAAAAGAAAGCAAATCATAGTAAATTAAAGTCCTGCACATTACCATCTGTCACCTCTTTTCTTCAGTTCCTTTTTTTTAATTCATTTTAACATGTTCTTGTTAATTCGTTTGTAAATCTTTTTTGTTCTATATATAACAATAACACTATGATTCAATCCAGAGTTGCTTCATATGATTTCTTAACGAAAATAAAACAAAAATAATGTAATTAGATCAGCATCCAAAAATAATGTAACAGTTCTCGCCTATCTCTATGTGCATTGCCCCAGTTCTAATTTTAGACTAAAAGCGCACGTATGTTATAGTATTAAAAATGGATATATCTCATTGTATCCAATGTATTTATTTGTAATTATGATTCAGTTCGTGGCATGTATCAACAATTGTACCACGTACCGAATAGTTAACCGGTCAAAATACTGACGTCATCCAAAAGCGGCCGGTTCTGGTCTCCACGCGTGTAGCGGCTGCTTTACACGCGTCACTCAAAATGAGCGAGTAGCAAAATATTTCACTATTCATACTCGCGTATGAAAGATAAGCAAGGGTATTTGAGTAAAAACGACGAACATGCCAAGTAACGTTTCCGCTTCTGCATTAACACTCGTCACCATTTATAATCTCTCTGCAACGGGGATATATACGCGACAGAGAGATAGAGAGAGATCTCTTTTTGTAACCTTAAATGGAAAATTCGATGCAAATTGAGTAGAAAATAATATAACAATTATTTACAAGGAATTAATAATTGAATTTCGAATTCATTATTCCAACACCAACATAAAAAAAAAAAACTTTTCGGCGATATTTACACGGTTTCGCCAAAATCGGCTTTTCGTTTTTCCGATGATGGAACTTTCCGCCTCCGTAGAAGAGACGACGGAGAGAACCGGAAAAATCAGCTGGGAGAAGAACGTCGCTGCTGCTGCTCATAACAACAATCACAATCATCACCGTTACAAATATCTCCCAAATTACGGTGGCGGGGGAAGCTCCGGGCGGCGTTTTCTGTTCTTCGTTGCCTGCTTTGGGTTTTACGCTTTGGTGGCCGCGACGTACGCGTGGCTCACGTTTCCACCGCATATCGGACGTACGGATCATGTATCGTCGTCTTCGCTAGGTTGCAGAGAGGACAATGAGGGTTCCTGGTCCATTGGAATTTTCTATGGAGATTCTCCCTTCTCTCTCAAACCCATCGAAACCGTGAGTTTCCGGATTTACTCTGTTCGTCATCACTCGATTTCGAGCAATCAGATTAGACTGCGAATCGTCTTTCCCTGTAGATGATTTGCTCCATAGGGTTCATGAATTTTCAATCATAATTGGGCATTTACGACATTTGTTTCTGGTGATTTTGGGGTGACGGAAACAGATCAATGTATGGAGGAACGAGAGTGCATCATGGCCTGTGGCTAACCCAGTCCTAACATGTGCCTCCTTGACAAATTCTGGTTTTCCAAGCAACTTTGTAGCTGATCCGTTTCTTTATGTACAGGTAATACATAATTTCCTACTCCTCCTTCATCGATTGCAGTATCTTTCGCTTGCTGCATGAATCATGGAGTAGTGGAAGAGCTTTTCATGAATACAATCTCTATTCACAAAAGTGTTTCGAGTCTCTTTTGCTCATGTTTCTCATCTGAATCTTCAGTTTTGCTTTCTCAACCTTATCTTATGAGACAGGGTGATACTCTTTACCTCTTCTTTGAGAACAAAAACCCAATTACACTGCAAGGGGATATAGGAGTTGCGGAAAGTATTGACAAAGGAGCAACTTGGAAACCTCTTGGTACAGCTTTGGATGAGGCTTGGCACTTGTCTTTTCCATTCGTCTTCGATTACAACGGAGAAGTAAGATATCAATCTCTTACGTATAAACTTCATGATACATACTGATGATAAAGAAAAAAACACATAGATGATAGCGTTTCTCTAACTTTTTTTTGTTAAATTCTTTTTCAAAAGATATACATGATGCCGGAGAGTAACCAGATAGGACAGCTTCGTCTCTACCGTGCTGTTAACTTCCCCTTAAGTTGGAAACTGGAGAAAGTCATCTTGCAAAAGCCGCTTGTTGATTCGACCATAGTCCATCACCAAGGACACTACTGGCTATTTGGATCAGATCATAGTAGCTTTGGTACCAAGAAGAATGGTCAGCTGGAAATTTGGTACAGTAGCACTCCTCTTGGCCCATGGAAACCACACAAGACGAATCCTGTCTACAACGGTAAACGAAATGTCGGGGCGAGAAACGGAGGCAGAGCTTTTTTACATAATGGGAATCTTTATCGTGTTGGTCAAGATTGCGGTGAAAACTATGGGAAAAAGATACGAATGTTTAAGATAGAGCTTCTTTCTAAGGAAGAGTACAGAGAAGTCGAAGTCCCCTTCGCTTTGGAAATGTCCCATAAAGGTAAAAACTCCTGGAACGGGGTTAGGCAGCATCATTTCGACGTACGACAGCTAAGTACGGGTGAATACATTGGTCTTGTCGATGGTGACCGTGTAACTTCAGGGGACCTGTTTCATCGGGTTTTTCTCGGTTATGCCTCTCTCGCGGTTGCTATTTCCGCGGTTGTGTTACTTGGGTTTTTGCTTGGGGTAGTGAACTGTATTGTTCCATCAACCTGGTGCATGAACTACTACGCCGCGAAAAGAACCGATGCGCTCCTGAATCTGGAAAATGCGGGTTTGTTCTCGGAAAAGCTAAGACGGATCTGTTCTCGGTTGAACCGAGTACCGCCTTTTCTTAGAGGATTCGTGAAGCCTAATTCCGCCTTGGGAAGATTAACGATTGGTTTCATAGTCCTTGTAGGAGTTTTGCTCGCATGTGTAGGCATCGGATACATATACGGTGGAAGCGGAGCGGTGAATCCTTACCCGTTCAAAGGTCACTTATCTCAGTTCACGTTAGCAACTATGACCTACGACGCTCGTCTCTGGAACCTGAAGATGTACGTTAAGCATTACTCTCGATGTCCTTCAGTGAAAGAGATCCTTGTCATATGGAACAAAGGACCGCCTCCTGAACAGAAGGATCTGGACTCGGCCGTGCCAGTTAGAATCCGAGTCGAGAAGCAGAATTCTCTGAACAACAGGTTCAATGTGGATCCGCTGATTAAAACCCGAGCTGTTCTCGAGCTTGACGACGATATAATAATGTCTTGCGATGTCATCGAAAAGGGGTTTAGAGTCTGGCGGGAGCATCCGGAGAGACTTGTCGGATTCTACCCGCGTTTCGTGGATGAAACCATGACTTATAGTGCCGAGAAATTTGCGAGGAGTCATAACGGATACAACATGATTCTCACCGGAGCAGCGTTTATGGACGCCGGCTTCGCGTTTGATATGTATCAGTCGGAGAAGGCGAAACTCGGTCGGGAATTTGTGGAAGAGCAGTTTAATTGTGAAGACGTTTTGTTAAACTTCTTGTACGCGAATGCGAGTGGATTGGGAAAGGCTGTGGAGTATGTGAGACCGCCTTTGGCTATTGACACTTCGAAATTTTCCGGTGTAGCGATAAGTGGGAACACGAATCAACATTACAGAAAGAGAAGCAAGTGTCTCCGGAGATTCTCTGATTTGTACGGAAGTTTGTCTGATCGGAGATGGGAATTCGGCGGGCGAAAAGATGGGTGGGATTTGTAGAAAAGGGAGTTTTGCTTGTAGGCTAAGTAAAGTAGTTCTTCATAAACTTTTGAGAGTTTTAAAATTATATAAAGCCCTTTTGGGGTTTGGAGTCTGTTTGTGTTGATTTACTAGTAGATTCACAATGTAACTTTAGCCTTTCTCTTTTCTCTGATCGTGTTAGATGTTTAGAACCTGTTGTGGTGAACGAACAGGGGCGTCTTTGATATTATTATACTAGAAAGAAAACTATTTCTGTGTATTACGTTTTTGTTTTGTTACTTCCACCGAGCCACACCGGTCGTTGCTCCAACGGTCAGGTCATGATCGATTACTTGGCTCGCAGGCTTCCTCTCCCACTCCTAAACCCTTACCTCAACGGAAACACAATGCCGTCTTCTTTCAAGAACGGAGTTAATTTCGCCGTCTCCGGAAGCACCGCCTTAACGGAATC